AAAAAAAAATCAAAGTTTTTATATTCTTGCTTTGACGAAAAAATGACGCAAATAACTAATAAAAAACATATATTACAACATCATGATTACTAGTCCACACAAGTCCAGAAGATTTACACAAAACATGGGAAAATCTTAAATTAAACATTCAACGTAAAGTTCTCATCGTCCTTGCTATATTCAGAATCAAACTGTCGAAAGGCAGAGATCAGTTTATCCAAGTGCACCTCACCAAAGCGCTGCAAATATGTTCTATTATATGTTCAAAATTTTACCATAGGCCTTTTTTCCACAAAGTACCCTATTATTTCTTGAACGGACGTTGACTGTGCCATTTTTCATTTCATTCTCTCCAACTACAAGGATGAAGTTGAACTGGGCTTCTATTGCCTTGCGGATCTGTCTATTGAAAGTATCCGAGCATCGCTCATCAACTTCCGCCTGTAAGTAAGGGAAAGAACCCTGTAAATAAGACTGACGCTGTATTCAGGTAAAACCTCAAATCCATGAGCATGAAGTTCGTGTTTTACTTCAACAGCATAGGATTTAACAGATTCTTGTACTGCAATTACTTTTGCCTGAAACACTTTGACATACGAAGAAGTTTAAGACTAGCACTCAAGGGAAATTTTCCTGTCTTGGTGAAAGCCAAAAGGGCCATTTTCCGCCACAATTTTCCGCCAGGATTGCTATTATTCGCTCAAGCGAACCAAGTATAGCTCGATGGATCATGACTGGTCGGTGTTTTTCGCCGTTTTCACTACAAGCAAAATCAATTTTACAAGAATAGCTTCGAGATTTGGGAGATACCTGTGATAACTAAGATCAAATCGTTGAGGTAGCTGGAAATCTAGCTGTATGGTAGCGCACTGATGGTTGCGTTTCAATGCATCTTCAATGGTAATATCAATCTAAACATTCGTGATAAATAAATTCATGCGGATATGTGGGAAAAAAACCACAACTACCTTGGGCCCGTAAAAAGCTCCATCTCCTTTCCTAAGTTCCCATTCTTTGCCTGATTCGTTTAAAGCTTTTTTAAGTATTTCTTCAGCTTCATCCCATGTCTGTCATTTTACTTTTTAATTAATATCTAGGGGGCTCAAAAACGGGAAAGATCTAACCTCTACTTCGCCCATGAAATGTACCGGACGAGTTGATAGATTGAGCTTGAACGTAAACCGAAACACTTTCTCATAACAGAATGAAAGGAAATCCAGGCATGCCTGAAAAGGAAAAGAACGCATGTACTGCTTTTTGTTTATAATAGTAAAAAGTGCTACGTGGTTGGGATCTTTAAAACTGAAAGTCGACTTGCTGACTCACGTACCGTTATTTCTTCTCCAATCTGGTCTCTTCGGCAGAATATGTGGGCATCGTCCTGCTGGAAGCGTCGCACGCGGGTCAGTCCGCTCATTGAACCAGACATCTCATTTCTGCTGTGCTTCTTCCACTTATATAGAAATTGCGAGGAGTACCAATTACCTGTGCAACACCCCAAAATCTGCATATCTTAATGGCAGATCTTTGTAAGTACGCGGTTCATGACTATACATAAGACAGTGTCCAGGACAATTCATCGGTTTCAATCCGAAGAGCTCGTCATCAATTGCGAATCTGTAGCAAATTCCATAATGACGTAACATAAGGATTTATACAACAGAAAATGCTCCACTTAAACATATTGTCACAGTAGTGGTCCCAGTGCCCAGAGATCTGCCATAATTTGCAATTGTATATGTTCGGTGTGATGACCTGAGCAGCAATTTGTGTGCGAATGGCAAAAATCAGTTAACATCACTCAACTTACCTCACTAAATCCCCGTCTTCTATACTCTTTCCTGAAGAAGTGTACTAGTTTATTGTAAATATGAGCTCCTTTTGGATACCAAAAAGCGGAGCCAGGCGATAGTGGATGAAAGAAGAAAAGCTCTTGATCGCAACCAATTTTACGATGATCACTTGACCATGGCTTACTCTAAGAATTCATTTGAGTCCCAAAAATATCAGGTAAAATGGTTAAAATGGATAAACATGGATTTTAGGTTGTTACTAAATTCGAAGGGCTATCGTTTTGCTTTTCATTTGCCTAAGTATTCATAGTTCAAATTTGGAAAAACCGATTTCTAACCTCACTGAAAGACATCCTTTTCCATGAATAGACATAAATTCTGGCTACGATGAGGTTGATGGCTCGTTGCTTGAACAGCGTTTTTGTTTATCGTTCGAATGCAACCTCTATAGAAAAAAAATTGAAAGCAAGGTATGGCATAACTCAAACCCGAAATTGGAAAAATGGAAAATAGTTGGGGAGTATCCCCATGCTCTGGATCAGTTTTCAATAGAAAACAGACATCATATTGCATCATCTTTGGATGTAAACCTGTGCGAGCCGCATAAGAATGACGCAATACAATATGAGGGAATGTTTTGAAGGTAAGTGCATGTACTCCATGAAACTCTCTCCACGTCTGCAGGATCAACAAAATCATAGGAGACAAGGCTTTGGTAAAGGATTAGAAAAGAGAATTTGGTAATTACACTTATAATGGATGTATTGAGCACCCGAAAGGATGTAGTCGTGCTTTCGCAAAATTAAAAAAAGGAAAATCAATGTTGAGTCTCAATCACAAGGAGAGCTAGAAATCTTATGTATTACCAGTTTTTTTACTAACAAATTTCGACCAATCGTCAGCTTTGCAGATTGGGTGAACTTACAAATCTCCTGAATTTCATACTGCAGAAAAAATTCAACAAAAGGCGTCGTCCTCTTTTCAAGCCCACTGATTAGCTCCAACCGTTTTACAAGCGGCCATTGCTTTTCGAACTTGATAGGGATAAATAATAAAAAAGTTCTCTTCAAGCGCAGCTTGAGAGGCTGAATTATGAAAACCAAGACGAGCTGTTATGGCTCTCACTCGAGTAGATTCTGCCCTGTTAGCGCATATGGCTCCATGTGTTTCGTTCAAACGCTCACACAGTATCTTCCCTTCTTTAGTCTCTAAACCTTGCTATATTGAGTGCTATGGTAACGAAAATTTGGTTTAGGCGTGTAGTAATTAGATAAGAATATGGAGCTAAGATGATAAAGGAGAAATGGCTATAACTTCTGTTTCACCCAGCTTGATTATA